GAGTTCAGAATCCTGCACGCGTTTTTTGTTTGCCTTGTAACCTTGGGTAAGTCACTTGCCCTGCTGAGACTCAGGTTCTTTCCTGAAAAATTAAAGGAGAATAACACCTACTTCTCAGGGCCACCTGGAAAAGAGAATGTGGTGTATATAAATTAAAGTATCTAACAGGGCTTGTGGCACAATATTGCTGTTTAATGCTTGCTTATTTTATTCGTTTCAGGCAGAAAGCAGGATTTGGGATTTGGGTTTTAGGAGCAATAGTGTGGACAGCCATCCAGGATGAGAACTCTCTGGATCCCCTCAGCACCTAGGTGCATCTGGTACCCTCAGACACACCAGGGCTCCATTTGCCCTCCCTCCCTTCCTGGGAGTGGACTGGGCATCCCAGGCCCCCTCCCCCAGCTATCTCCGGAGCTGGACCCCTTTGCAGGGCCTGCAGGTCTATTTTGAGAGCCGAGCATCTCCCCTCCCCTCCTCTCTTCCTGTTTATGAAACCCTGATCCCTCCCGGATCCCTCATGCTCCCCTGGCCAGAGCTTAGGCAGGATGTGACTGTGGACTTCAGGGAGCCTCGGGCAGCCTCAGGTGTTGGAAGGAACTTCCCTTGGCCTGGCCAGAGAAGCCTAGCCACCCTCCTAGTACCTGGGGCCCTGTGGCTGGGCTCTGTCCCTTCAGCCTGTCCAGGGGAGACCCCACAGCAGTAAGACTAAGTAAACCTGGGAGAAGTTCTGTTTCAAACATCCCCTTATCTCTGTGGCCATTTTGCTTCTAGAAACAGTCTGAGAGTGGAGCATATTGTTCTAATGTTCATTTTACAGAGGAGGAAACTGAGGTTCAGACAGGGAAAGAGATTTGCACTGAGCACTCAGCTAGTGAGTGGCCAGTTCTTCTGACTTCCCACCCTATCCTCCTGGCCTTAAGCCCTTTGCTCACACAGGTCTTTTTCTACATGGAGTGTCTTTTTTCCTCCTTTCTGCCTGGCCAACACCTGTTCATCCTCAGGACCCAGGTGGGCTGCCCCTCTCTGGAAGGTCTTTCCTTAACTCACCCACTGGCAGATAGTCACCACCTCTGGGCACCCACAACACCTTGATTATGGATGTCTCAGGATAGTTGTGGTTTTTTGGGTTGGTTTTGTTTTGAGAAAGGGCCTCCCTCTGTTGCCTGGGCTGGACTGCAGTAGTGCAACCACAGCTCACTGTAGCCCTGACCTCCTAGGCTCAAGTGATCCTCCTGCCTTAGCTACCAGAGTAGCTGGGACTACAGGCGCACGCCACCATGCCCAGGAGTTCAGCACCAGCCTGGGCAATACCGGGAGACCCAGCCTCTACAAAATTTTTTTAAAAAAATTAGCTAGGTGCGGTGGCACATACTTGTCCTCCCAGCTTACTCCAGAGGTTGAGGTGGGAGGATCACTTGAGCCCAAGAGGCTGCAGTGAACCATGATTGTACCACTGCAGTCCAGCCTGGGTGACAGAGACTGTCTTTTTTTTTTTTTTTTTTTTTTTTTTGAGACGGAGTTTCGCTCTTGCCACCCAGGCTGGAGTGCAATGGCGCAATCTCGGCTCACTGCAACCTCCGCCTCCTGGGTTCGGGCAATTCTCTTGCCTCAGCCTCCTGAGTAGCTGGGATTACAGGCAAGCACCACCGTGCCCAGCTAATTTTTTGTAGTTTTAGTAGAGACGGGGTTTCACCATGTTGACCAGGATGGTCTCGATCTCTCGACCTCGTGATCCACCCGCCTCAGCCTCCCAAAGTGCTGGGATTATAGGCGTGAGCCACCGCGCCTGGTGGTGACTGTCTTAAAAAAATAAAACTAGCGGGGCGCGGTGGCTCAAGCCTGTAATCCCAGCACTTTGGGAGGCCGAGGCGGGTGGATCACAAGGTCGAGAGATCGAGACCATCCTGGTCGACATGGTGAAACTCCGTCTCTACTAAAAATACAAAAAAATTAGCTGGGCGTGGTGGCACGTGCCTGTAATCCCAGCTACTCAGGAGGCTGAGGCAGGAGAATTGCCCGAACCCAGGAGGCGGAGGTTGCGGTGAGCCGAGATCAGGCCATTGCACTCCAGCCTGGGTAACAAGAGCGAAACTCCGTCTCAAAAAAAATAAAATAAAATAAAATAAAATAAATAAAAATACCAGGCACAGTGGCTCATGTCTATAATCCCAGCACTTTGGGAGGCAAGGTGGGTGGTTCACCTGAGCTCAGGAGTTCAAGACCACCCTGGGCAACATGGTGAAACCTTGTCTCTGTTAAAATACAGAAAAATTAGCCAGGTATTGTGGAGTGCACCTGTAGTCTCAGCTACTCTGGAGGCTGAGGCACAAGAATCACTTGAGCCTGGGATGAAGAGGCTACAGTAAGCTGAGATCGCGCCACTTTACTCCAGCCTGGGTGACAAGAGTGAAACTCCCTCTCAAAAAAACAAAAACAAAAACAAAGGCTGTGTGCAGTAACTGCTCGATCAGTAGGAGGCACACTTGCTAGCATCTCTCCATGTCAGTCCTGACCTAGTATGGGAGGCCGGCTCCCCCTCAAGGCTGCCAGGGAGCTGTGGACCCCTCCTCACCTGCCTGGAGGCATGCTGGGAGATGCATTGAGGACATCTGTCCCACCTGAGGGAGGGCCCTGCAAATGCTGCCAGCTGGGGAAGGGGCTGTTGGTGTCCTTTAGGGCCAGGATTAGCAGGTGGGCTTGGCTATACAGCTGGCAGGGTGAGGACCCTGGAGACCAAGGATCTGGCTGGGGGGCTCTGAGCTTCTCTTCTAGCTGCCCTGTAGGAGGAAGTAAATAAAGAGGAAGTTCCTATGGGGGGGATGGGGCAGGGACCAAGGGATGTGGGCTGGTGGCTGTCCTCCCCCCTCCCGCCACCAGAGGCCTCATGGCCCACATAGCCTTCAGCAAAGGCAGTTCTGAGACCAGTTCCTTCCTGTTGCCCCTTCTGGTACCCTGCTGGCCACAGAGGCTAGTGTGCACCGGGCCTCTGGTATATCTCCGCCTGTGACTGGAGAATCTCCTTCCACAAAGTAGCTACCTCTCTACCTTCTTTCTTTGCATCTGAGGGACCAGGGGTTGGTAGGGACGGTGAACGTTGGGGCTCCGAGGGCTGCCCCAGCCTCCAAACTCATCAGAGGAAGCTGGAGAGCAATGAGAGGCTTGGCCTGAGGGAGGCGTCTTTCACAATCTCCCAGCAGCATCCACCCGCAAAGACTCTGCAAGGACAGGGAAGGGGAAGTCTGTGGGGGCGTGGGGGCGTGTATTTCTGCATAGGGTTGTCTGTGGACAGGGTTTCCGATCATCAGCTTGAGTATGTGTTTGTGTGCGTGTCAGTTCCTGTGCTGTACTGGTGTGAGTGATGAAGTGAGGCCGCATGGAAAGGGGCTGGGCCTGGTCAACCCCTGCCCCATAGCTGCTTCCTGCTCCTCTCAGACCTCTGAGAGGTTCTTGGTTGGGCTTTCTGCCCACCTTGCCTATCCTGGGGCTTTGTACTGGCAGACTTCTTCAGGGCAGCTGAGCAGGGCAGGACCGGGTACATCGGTGCCTGCTTTCTCAGCTGCCATTCTGGGCGGACCTAGCCAGGGAAGGATGCTATGGGGGATGTAGTATCTAAGCTCTGGGCTGGACAGTCAGACAGTAGCCTTTGCTGACTTTTGCCCCTCGTTCTCTCAGGCCCCCCTCCCCCACATGGATGTTTGCGGGTGCTGAGATGCTCACTGTGTCACTGCCTTATCACCTTGTGACTTCTGTCTCTGCTCTCGTCTCTCCTCCTTAGAGTCAGAGGACATAGGGAGGAGCATGCCCCTGGGCCTGCCCTGGGCTCATGGGCTTGGGGTCTGCAGTGTCCTCTCCTCTGCAGAGGAGCCTGACCTATCTTCTGTCCCTCCTCCCTGCAGAGGGAAGTGAGAAGGAGGGGGGCCAGGGACCCTGCCTTCTGGGCCAGGAAGGCTGAAAAAAAAAGCAGAAGTAAGAGGAGTAACGGGGCCCTCTGGCCACTGGCTTGAGCCCTACCATGCAGACCCCGGCAGATTTCCCCAGGGTTGAGAGAGACTTGGTTCCCTGTCCCAGAAAGGTGAGCAGAAGAGTGGCCTGTCTCCAGCAGTGTCTGTCACTGTGACTCTGGGCAAGGAATGGGTTTGGGGGCGGCTCTGTTCCCTGGGGTTTCCGGGTGGTTTCCTGCCTCGGTCCCCAGGGAGTGTTCTCAGTCAGAGGCAGGCAGATGAGGCGGGGCTGAGATCTCAGGGTGGGGTGTGCAGGTATTGCTGTGTGGCCTTGGCCCCTTTCAGTCCTTCTCTGAGCCAGGCTTTCTGCCTGTCTCGCCAGGAGGTTACACTCAGGGATCTGATTTGACTGCTGCTTTCTGGTTTTTTTGTGGGGTTGTTCCACCCACTCCTTCTTCTGAGAGGGTTAGGTATCTTCCCCTGAGATAAGATTGTGTCTCCGGGGGCCAGGACCTAGAGTGGGAGGTCCCAGATGGACCCTAGTGCTGAAGGAGGAGGGGGTTTGGGCAGACGTGATGGCAGGATGTGGCTCTGGGTGACTTACCTGCCCACCCTTTCCTGGCACTTGACGCCTGCTGACCCCATGCCGGGCAGAAGCAGGGGAGGTGCTGGGGTCCAAGCTGGCTCTGCCACTGTTTGCTTTGAGCCTCGGTGAGTCACTGTCTTCTGGGCCTCAGTTTCCTGTTCCTGGAATGAGAATAACGGTTTTTAGGATATGATCAGAGTTAAAGATAGCAGATTGCACTCAGGAGATAGTCCTCTCAGCCACTGTCTGGACCCACTCAGGTCCTGGCGTAGGACGAAAATCCTAGGGAAACGGACGACCTCAGAGGTGGGTCTCCAAGAAATATCAGACTGCTCTCTTGAGTTTGCAGACTGTGTCCCTTCCTCTCTTTCCCCACCCCAAGTACAGCAACAAGAACCCACAGTTCCACGCTTAACCCCTTCCTGGGGATCCCTGCCCTGCTGCCTGCCTGTGTGTCTGCCAGGTGTCAGACCTATCTGCCCTAGGTGTCTGCCAGTCTACTTGGGCCTCACTGACTCTGGCTGTTTCTCTTTGCTGCCTACCCGTGTCTGTTGTTGGGTTCCAATCTCTGTCTCCACTTGATAAGTACCTGCCTTCACCTGTTGGGCACATGTCACATGTTAGGTGCCTGTTGTTCATGTCCCCTTCTGTCTCTGCCTGTTGGGTTTATGTCCCCTTCTGTCATTGCCTGTTGGGTTTGTGTCCCCTTCTGTCTCTGTCTGTTGGGTTCAGGTCACCATCTGTCTCTGTGCTGTTGGATACATGTCCCCTTCTGTCTTTGCCTGTTGGGTACATGTCCCCGTCTGTCTCTGGCTGTTGGGTACATGTCCCTTTCTGTTTCTGCCTGTTGGGTTTGTGTCCCTATCAGCCTACACACATTGAGGATGAGCTTCTGTCCACCTCTGTCTGTTAGATACGAGTCCCTTCCTGCTGCTTCTTGTTGGGTACATGTCTCCATCTGTTTTCTATTGGATATGAATTTCTCCTGCTGCTGCCTGTTGGATAGGTATCCTTATCCATCCCTGCCTGTTGGGTATGTGTTCTCTCCTGCCCCTGACTATTAGATGCCATTCTTATCTGTTTCCACCTCTTGGGTGCCTGCTTCTGCCTGCTGGGTGTCTCTCTTTGTCTGCCTCCACATATCAGGCACCTGTCTTTGCCTGTTGGGTACCTGTCTGCAGTTGGGTATCTGTCTGCTCAGCAGCTGCATTGGCAGGGGGCTTTCCCTTTGTAGGCCCCTGCAAAGGGAGGATGGGGGAATGGCCAGAGGGCAGCCCTGAGGCACTGGGGAGCGGGGAGAGAGGAAGGGAACGGGGTGAGGGTGTAGGCCTGGAGCTGGGAAACCACAGACCCTGAGTGATTGGCTGCCCTGGGCCGGGCCCAGCCCCCGCCCTTACCCTACACATCCGCCTTGGTCCCGGCCACCTCCGCGGCAGCCCCGGACGCTGCCTGCTCCTGCCATGGTGCCGTGGCCCTGCTGGGCGGATGGAGCAGGATCCCAAGCCGCCCCGTCTGCGGCTCTGGGCCCTGCTCCCCTGGCTGCCCAGGAAGCACCGGCCCAGGATCAGCCAGACCTCTCTGCCTGTCCCTGTCCCTGGCTCTGGCTCCCAGCAGGACTTGGTGAGTGTGCCCGGATGTCTGGTCCTGGCCTGGCTGTGTCCCTCGCAGCAGGTGCCTGGGAAGCTAGCTTAGTGCAAGTTGGCTTTGGTCTGTCCTGGCCCTGCCAGGGGTGACTGGACCCTGCCCAGACTTGCTTCCTGGGGAGGTTAGGAGGCACTTGAGGGCTTCAAGGCAATACCAGCAGATTGGAGGGAGAGTAGAGTCCTGGAACGGTGAGGCTCTGGCAAGGCGCTTCCAGTAGGTTTGTAGGAGGGAAGTTTGGGAAGATGAGCCATGGAGTCTCTGGCCTTAACTCTGACCTGCTCCAGGCCAGCACTAACCAAGTCAATGGGGGAGTTTGGGTGACTCTTGAGTCCTTGTGCACCTCAGCCCCGTCCTACTGACCAGAGGGATCCCTCATCCCATCCTGACCAGGAACGAAGGCCCAGCTCTACCTCCCCATATGAGAACAAACCTACTTCCTATTGTGGCAAAACTAAAACAGCAGCGGGAGGGAAGCCCCATGGGCAGACCTGGGACAGGTCTCCGGGTCTCAGCCAGAGTCGGGTTGGCTTAGCCTGGCCATGCCTGGGCATCCCTTTGGGCCTAACCAGGCCAGAGCATCAGGAGCAATAGGAGCGGTGCCTCTTCTGGTTTGACCTCGCCAACCTTTGAGGCCCTTTTGAAATTGATGTCCCTGGAGGCTAGCCCTTCAGGGAAGTCGTCTGTTGGGCCTTTAGGTCCCATCTGCTGTGGTCTGGTGGGAAGGGACTTGGGCAGGGGGGATATGCCTCCTGCTGCCCAGATGGGGCCCACTGTTCCCACCAGCTCTATCCTTCCATCAGGATGAGGGCGTCCTCAAGGAGATCTCCATCACGCACCACGTCAAGGCTGGCTCTGAGAAGGCTGATCCATCCCATTTCGAGCTCCTCAAGGTTCTGGGCCAGGGATCCTTTGGCAAAGTGAGTCATGAGCCCACGGCTGTGAAGGCAACATTGGTCATGTTGGAGGTGGGGGTCAAGGGTCACCTAGGGACCCAAAGGATCAGAGGTCACCTTGGTACCCAGGGAGAGCAAAAAGGTCAGCTTGGGGCTCAGAGAAGATATAGGTCATTGGCCAGGCGTGGTGGCTCATGCCTGTAGTCCCAGCACTTTGGGAGGCTGAGGTGGGTGAATCACGAGGTCAGGAGATCAAGACCATCCTGGCCAACATGGTGAAACCCTGTCTCTACTAAAATACAAAAAATTAGCTGGGTGTGGTGGTAGGCATCTGTAGTCCCAGCTACTTGGGAGGCTAAGGCAGGGGAATCGCTTGAACCCAGGAGGTGGAGGTTGCAGTGAGCTGAGATTGCGCCACTGCACTCCAGCCTGGTGACAGAACAAGATTCTGTCTTAAAAAAGTAAAGAAAAAAAGGCTAGATGTGGTGGCTCATGCCTGTAATCACAGCAATTTGGGAGGCTGAGGCGGGCAGATCACCTGAGGTCAGGAGTTCGAGACCAGCCTGACCAACATGGAGAAACCCTGTCTCTACTAAACATGTAAAATTAGCTGGGCGTGATGGCGCATGCCTGTAATCCCAGCTACTTGGGAGGCTGAGGCGGGAGAATCGCTTGAACCTGTGGTGAGCTGAGACCACGCCATTGCACTCTAGCCTGGGCAACAAGAGCGAAACTCCATCTCAAAAAAAAAAAAAAAAAAAAAGGTCAGCCTGGGCTCAGCCCTCTCCCATCTCCCATCTTATCCCCCTGCTTCCTGCTCTGCCTTCCCAGGTCTTCTTGGTGCGGAAGGTCACCCGGCCTGACAGTGGGCACCTGTATGCCATGAAGGTGCTGAAGAAGGCGACACTGAAAGGTGGGTAGGGACACCTCCCTGTACAGAACCCAGACTGGGCTGAGGGAGGCAGCCGACACTTCAGGGACCTTGGGTCTGGCAAGGAAGACAGCTCTGTCTTCAGAGCACCTAGTTCAAAAGCAGAGAAACAGGCCTATGTCTCAGCCATCCCTCCCCACCCAATCCCCTTCCCCTAAGCCAAGTGCCAATGACTGTGGCTGTGAAGGTCTGGAAGGTAGTAATAGGGTAAATGCACAGCCGAGTGTGGTGGCTTACGCCTGTAATCCCAGCACTTTGGGTGGCTGAGGCAGGGGAATCGCTTGAATCTGGGAGGCGGAGATTGCAGTGAGCTGAGATCTCACCACTGCACTCCAGCGATTCTGGGTGACAGAGGGAGAATGTCACCCAATCGCTCTGGGTGACAGAGTGAGACTCTGTCGGAAAAAAAAAAAAAAAATTTGGGTAAATGCAATGTATTTTTCAGGGAAGGGACCCTCAGATAACAAGCTGGTCAGGCAGAGGCATTCTGACTGTTGGCAGGGTTGCTTCACGATGCTAGAAGAGCGAGGGAGACCTCTGTGGCCTCTAACTCATGGGCCTGAGAGAAGGGCGTGAGTAAAGAGGCAGGGAGCCCAGGGAGGCAGCTGGGCAAGGCAAGAGAGGGTGAGTCCAAGCAGGACCACAGTGCTGGATAGCAGAGAGGTTCAGAAGGGAACCCGAGCCAAGGTTAGAGTTCTGGGGATTCACAAAGGGTGTGAGGATGGTTGGTAGTGGGCTTTGGGTTGGACACTGACCACCTGGCCTGGGAACCAGTGTGACCAACAACCCGGTGAAGTCAGAGCCAACTGCCCTTCCTCAACCATCTGCCAAGTCTCCTTTAAATAATAAAAGTCAAGGCCAGGTGCAGTGGCTTACACCTGTAATCCCAGCACTTTGCAAAGCCAAGGTGGGCAGATCATGAGGTCCGGAGATCAAGACCATCCTGGTCAACATGGTGAAACCCCGTCTCTACCAAAATACAAAAAAATTAGCCAGGCGTGGTGGGGCATGCCTGTAATCCCAGCTACTTGGGAGGCTGAGGCTGGGGACTTGCTTGAACCTGGGAGGTGGAGGTTGCAGTGAGCTGGGATTATGCCACTGCACTCCAGCCTGGCAACAGAGACTCTATTTCAAAAAAAAAAAAAAAGCTGGGCATGATGGCATGCACCTGTAATCCCAGTCAGAGCCAAGTCCTGGCTGGGGAGGTAGTGGGGGCAGTAGGAGGTGTCAGCTTTAAGGGTGTTACGGCTGGCTTGGTATCCTAAGGCCAGCCTGGTGGGGGTGGGAGTCATCTCCCAGGAGGTATGGTGAGAGCTTCAGAGGGAGGAGAAAGATGAAAAGCCTCGGTCCCTGCTGTGAAGGGCTCACAGGTTGGGCAGGAGAGGCTAAGCCCTGACGGTGTGGTGCAGCCAGTGCTGTGACTGGTATGCAAGGATATCGACGGGCTGAGGAGCTAGGAGTGGTGGGGCAGCCTCGCAGAGGGTGGGCCCAGAGGCCAAGTGGACACCTAAGGAGCAGTAAGCCTCAAAGGATGAGTGGACTTCTCCAGACCAAAAATGGTCGAGGAAGGGGAGCCTGGGAAGGAGAAGCTTTTGCCTGAGCTGAAGTGTGGAAGTGGTTTGAAAAGGTAAGGTAGGCTGGGCATGGTGGCTCACAACTGTAATCCTAGCACTTTGGGAGGCTGAGGTGGGTGGATCACTTGAGGTCAGAAGTTTGAGAACAGCCTGGCAAACATGACAAAACCCTGTCTCTACTAAAATACAAAAATTAGGTGGGTGTGCTGGGGCACACCTGTAGTCCCAGCTACTCAGGAGGCTAAGGCACAAGAATCACTTGAACCTGGGAGGTGGAGGTTGCAGCGGGCCGAGATCGTGCCATTACACTTCAGCCTGGGTGACAGCAAGATTCCATCTAGAAAAAAAAAAAGAAAATGTAAGGCGACTAAAATAGTGAACTCTGGTGTGGTCCTTGTCATATCTAGTGAGGAAAATACAAAAAATAGAGGAAGGGGCCTCTAAAGTGAAAAGTGCTCTGAGGGAGCCAGCTCCTGCAGCCCTGGTGCTCACATGGAAGGTGTGTTGGAAGGCAGCTGCAGCTTCTCCTTGTAGCAAGGCCCAAGGATTGTGTCTGGTACAAGACTCTGGAAAGACATGCAGGAGGAGCACATTGGCCAGGTCTCCTAAGATAAGCAGCTGTGAGCATCAATTCTGGATTGGCAGTGACCGATGAATAGAATTCATACTAGATGGGTGAACTAGTGGAATCTTTGGGACCATGAGGCTCTGGAGGAAACTGCCAATCCAGTACATGGACCAAAACAAGCCTTTAGTTTTGCACTGTGAGTTGCTCAGAAATTCTGTCTGGTCTTAGTAAGCACTCCCTAGCCTCCCATATCTCTTTTTAATAAAAGTCAAGGCCAGGGTGATAGCTCATGGCTGTAATCCCAGCACTTAGGGAGGCCAAGGTGGGCAGATAATTTGAGATCAGGAGTTCAAGACCAGCCTGGCCAACATGGTGAAACCCTGTCTCTACTACAAACACAAAGATTAGCCAGTGTGGTGGTTCGCGCCTGTAGCCCCAGATATTTGGGAGGCTGAGGCACAAGAATCGCTTGAAACCAGGAGGCAGAGGTTGCAGTGAGCCAAGATTGTGCCACTGCACTCCAGCATGGGTTACAGTGAGACCTTGTTTCAAAAAAAGAAAGTCAGGGGGCACATGAGAGGTCTCAGTCAAAGGATAATTAACGTATCATCATTGTGGTAAACTTAGTTGAAACACAGTGCCCAAAATGAACCTAGGCAGCCAAGTCCAAAAGCCTGTTCCCCCCGCCCCAAGATGGAGTCTTGCTCTATTGCCCAGGCTGGAGTTCAGTGGTGCGATCTTGGCTCACTGCAACCTCCGCCCTCCAGGTTCAAGCGATTCTCCCGCCTTAGCCACCTGAGTAGCTGGGATTACAGGCACACGCCACCACGCCTGGCTAATTTTTGTATTTTTAATAGGGAGAAGGTTTCACCGTGTTGGCCAGGCTGGTCCCAAACTCCTGACCTCAAGTGATCCACGCGCCTCAGCTTCCCACAGTGCTGGGATTACAGGCATGAGTCACTGCACCCAGCCCAAAAGCCCGTTCTAATCAGACTAGTGAAATCAGTAAAACATGATGCTTGGTGGGCTTCAATAAATTTAGAAGGCAACCTGAAAAAGAGAAAAGTGCTCCCAAGGAGAAGCATAAACACTGTTAAGAAACCAGAAGACCCTAACTCAGCTTGGGAAATTAAGGAGTGCTTCCTGGAGAAGATGAGGCCTGATCTGAGTCAAGGAACCTGCTAAGAGTCAGAACTGCCCAACAACTTTTTTTTTTTTTGAGACGGAGTCTCACTGTCACCAAGGCTGGAGTGCAGTAGCACAACCTCAGCTCACTGCAACCTCCACCTCCTGGGTTCAAGCGATTCTCCTGCCTCAGCCTCCCCAGTAGCTGGGACTACAGGCACGTACCACCACACCTGGCTAATTTTTTATTTTTAGTAGAGACATGGTTTCACAATGTTGACCAGGCTGGTCTTGAACTCCTGACCTCATGTGATCCGCCCGCCTCAGCCTCCCAAAGTGTTCAGATTATAGACATGAGCCACCTTGCCTGACCACACAACTTTTTTTTTTTTTTTTTTTGAGACGGAGTTTCGCTCTTGTTACCCAGGCTGGAGTGCAATGGCGCGATCTCGGCTCACCGCAACCTCCGCCTCCTGGGTTCAGGCAATTCTCCTGCCTCAGCCTCCTGAGTAGCTGGGATTACAGGCACATGCCACCATGCCCAGCTAATTTTTTGTATTGTTAGTAGAGACGGGGTTTCACCATGTTGACCAGGATGGTCTCGATCTCTTGACCTTGTGATCCACCCGCCTCGGCCTCCCAAAGTGCTGGGATTACAGGCTTGAGCCACCGCGCCCGGCCGACACACAACTTTTATTCTTTAAAACAAACAAACAAATAAACAAAAGGGATATGAAGGGTGCCCACCCAGACCCAAACCTATGCATGGTTCAGGATTTTAGGCCCAGGGAATCTGCCTCTCTAGTTCCCCAGATAGCTGTTCTTACCAGCCCCCAGACTAGAATTTGGGAATTTTTATGCCACATGGAGAGCGGGGCTGGTGACGACATGCCAGGAGGAGGTGCAGAGGCAAAGTCTGAGGCACAGCTGTGGTCACTGCTGTGAGGGGTGGGGGCGAGGAGCCTTCCTGGCTCCTGGGAAGGAAGGAAGAAACCTGAGGATTGAGTGTTTCTGAGTGAAGGGGCCTTAGGAGCTCAGATGTGGAGAAACAAGTGGAAAAGAGAGCCCTTAGCAGGGGTTTGGGAGTGGCTGTGTTGAGTGTCTGGCCTCCTGGTGACTTCCTTTCCTGTCTGTCCAGTACGTGACCGCGTTCGAACCAAGATGGAGAGAGACATCCTGGCAGATGTAAACCACCCATTTGTGGTGAAGCTGCACTATGGTAAAGCTGCATGCCCTATCTGAGCTCCCACCCCGCTCATCCTTCACCCTTGCCTGTGGGTGTGTACCCTGTCCCACCCCCTGCCTGGCAGGCCAAGGGAGCCGGGCCTGGAGGAGCAGGTCACAAGGTCCCACTGACTCTACCATTGCCTTTTTCCCTCTCCCCAGCCTTCCAGACCGAGGGCAAGCTCTATCTCATTCTGGACTTCTTGCGTGGTGGGGACCTCTTCACACGGCTCTCAAAAGAGGTGAGCTGACATCTACTGCCAAAGAGCCCCAGGACAGAGCTGGGGAACGACAAGGCCCATCCAGGCCCCTGTACAGAATGTGTTCAATATGGCCTGAACCTGGAACCACCCAGGCCTGCCTAGCAGCCCCTGGCCCAGGAAATACCACTCACCCTGGGATGGAGGCCATACGCTGGGAGGGCCTCTGAGAGTTTCTCCCAACAAAACACCGGGGAGCTAAGGGTTCCTCTCACCTAAGCACCTGCATTCTTCCAGGGCTGCTCCGGACAGAGCTGTGAAGATTGAGGAAAAGCCCAAAGTCACCCAGAGAGCCAGAGACTTTAGCAGTCATGTCCCACATGTCATCCAAAAGGATTTTGAACCAATATACAATTCAGACTTTAAAGACAACCCAACTTAAAAAAAATTTTTTTAATTGTTATTTTAATGTGTGAATAGGTAATCTATTTATGTGATTCAAAAAAAAAAAAATATTCATGAAGAAGTCTTCCTCCCACCCCAGGCCCCTCTATCCTCATCCATAGGTAAACGTTTTTATTAGTTTCTTTCTTTTTTTTTTTAGACAGGGTTTCTCCATGTTGGTCAGGCTGGTCTCGAACTCCTGACCTCAGGTGATCCGCCCACCTTGGCCTCCAAAGTGCTGGGATTACAGGCGTGAGCCACTGTGCTGAGCCTTTTATTGGTTTCTTGTTTAACTTTCTCATGTTTCTTTTGCAAACAGATCTGATATATGTTCTGAATTGCTACCCCCACTTTCTTATGTAAAAAGTACTATTCTTTATACACTGTTCTATACCTTGCTTTTTTTCAAGATAGTATATCTTGGAGCTCTCTCCATATGAGGACATGGAGAAACTCCTTGTTCTAGTTAATGGCTGCAAAGCACTCCATTATGCAGGGGAGACAGCTTATTCCAGCCTTTCCAGCCCTTTCTATTTCTGAACAATGCCACAATGAGTGACTTGCATCTTAGTCATTTCATACTTCAAATCCTCTGTATGACAAGAAGGCTAAATGGCCTGGGTCAGGACCAGAAAGCTGTTGACTGCCCAGTGCCCCAGCTCTTAAGGAAGAGGAGGTCCCTGCTGAAGCCCCCTCCTGTCTGTTGCAGGTGATGTTCACGGAAGAGGATGTGAAGTTTTACCTGGCCGAGCTGGCTCTGGGCCTGGACCACCTGCACAGCCTTGGTATCATTTACAGAGACCTCAAGCCTGAGAAGTGAGTGAAGCCTCCAGCCCCACCCAGCCTCCCTAGGGGAGGCTTCTTCTAAAACAGGGCCACCCTGAGGTGGGTGGGCATGGCTTTCTCCAGGAACGTCCCCCTCTCTTGGGCAATCTGAGGAATGGGTGAGTGGGGCGAGTGGTAGTGGCAGCTGCCCAGTCACTAATGCTACCATTACCAAGGGCCAGGTACATTCCAAGCAGGTATGTTCCCCACCTTTTTTGCTAATCTAGTGTGACATCTGAGATGCTGCTACCTTTAAAGGTCTTTCCTTGATATAGCCCTCTAGAATTTTCCCTAATAGCTAACTACCCTTGGCCAGGTGCGGTAGTTCATGCCTGTAATCCCAGCACTTTGGGAGGCCAAGGCAGGCAGATCAGCTGAGGTCAGGAGTTCGAGACCAGCCTGACCAACATGGAGAAACCCTGTCTCTACAAAAAATATAACATTAGCCAGGCGTGGTGACACACGCCTATAATCCCAGCTATGCGGGAGGCTGAGGCAGGAGAATCGCTTGAACCTGGGAGGCGGAGGTTGTGGTGAGCTGAGTTCGTGCCATTGCACTCCAGCCTGGGCAACAAGAGTGAAACTCTGTCTCAAAAAAAAAAAAAAGATATATATATATATATATATATATATATATATATATATATATATACCATTAAATGATAACTAAGGAGCCAGGGGCAGGGGGCAGGTGGTGAGTTGGAATAAGATCTGGCTTTAGTGTTAGGCAGCCCTGTATTCAAATCCTGTCTACCCCTACTAGCTAGACGTACTAGCTCGATGACTGTAGGGCTATTTAACTGCCCTGAGCCTTAGTTTTCTCATTCACAAAATGGAGCCCTAATAGTACCTACCTCACACAGTTTCAAGAATTAGCAAAAAACGATAGGCAACATACCGGCATGACACTGCCATCACCCTGCAACACCCACCCGGTCATCAGAGAGAACTGGGCGGAGCACCTCCTCTGGGCTGAGCCCAGCTCCCACAGCCCTGTGGTGACACCACCACCCACACGGTGGCCACAGCCGAGGGGCCCTGACCCCCATTCCTCTATTACAGCATCCTTCTGGATGAGGAGGGCCACATCAAACTCACTGGTGAGTGGAGGGCGCCTGCCCTCTTGGGCCCCAGGGGAGGGCAGAACAAGGTCCTGACAGGTCTCGGCTGAGTGCTGGGTGCTTATTCTTCCTGAGAGGCTGTGCCAGTTACTTGGAAGTGGTCAGAAATCCAGGCCTCAGACTTGGAACACCATCGGTTGGAATCTCAGCCCCTCATTGTGTCACATTGGGGAAGTCACCTGACCTCTCAGGGCCTTAGCTTTCTCCTGAGCGTCATGGGGGTTATGCCTTCCAGGCTCTGGGCACAGGGGTTGGGTGTGCAATGGGTGGCAGCAAGGAAGGCAGGGATCCTGAGATGTGTCCTCCTGCCCTCCTGCTGTAGACTTTGGCCTGAGCAAGGAGGCCATTGACCACGAGAAGAAGGCCTACTCCTTCTGCGGGACAGTGGAGTACATGGCCCCCGAGGTCGTCAACCGCCAGGGCCATTCCCACAGTGCGGATTGGTGGTCCTATGGGGTATTGATGGTGAGTGCCCAGACAGGGACAGAGGATCCCACCCAAGCCTCTGGCCTCAGTCTCCCCGTCTGTACAGTGAGGGGGTCGATCATCTCCAGGGCTCTCCCCGTCTCCTCTCACAGCCATGCTGGCCTCACCCTACACGGAACTGCAGTTTTCTTCCTTGGAAGGATCCCAGGCTTGACCCCATCTGGGATATGCCTATCTCAGTGCTGGGCTTCTCCCCAGCCTTGTGCCCCCACTGCTGCACCTACCTGGTGGTCTGGTTGTCGAGGCAAGAGGCACAGACATAATTCTTGCTCCAGGTGGACTTGGATGATCCTGGGACTAGGGCAGAGGGGCCTAGATGGGAGGAGGTGAGAGGTGTGGGGGAGTCAGGGATCAGCGCCTGAATAGACCCTTGTCCTCTGCAGTTTGAGATGCTGACGGGCTCCCTGCCCTTCCAGGGGAAGGACCGGAAGGAGACCATGACGTTGATTCTGAAGTAAGCCCCAGCCCTGCCCTGATACCAATGGACTCTCCTGGGCTGGGCACGGTGCCTCACGCCTATAATCCCAGCACTTTGGGAGGCCAAGGCGGGTGGATCACGAGGTCAAGAAATCGAGGCCATCCTGGTCAACATGGTGAAACCCCGTCTCTACTAAAAACACAAAAATTAGCTGGGCATGGTGGCACGCGCCTGAGGTCCCAGCTACTCGGGAGGCTGAGCCAAGAGAATTGCTTGAACCCAGGAAGTGGAGGTTTCAGTGAGCCGAGATTGCGCCATTGCACTCCAGCCTGGGTAATGAGTGAAACTCCGTCTCGAAAAAAAAAAAACAATGGACTCTCCCAAGTCCCAGGCCCCAGGCCCAGTGGGGGTCAAAATATTACCCTGTCCCTGCCTCAGATTCCCTCACTAATGAGACACTCCTCTGGGTTAAACATTATACCTTCCAGCCTGGGCGCGGTGGCTCACACCTGTAATCCCAGCACTTTGGGAGGCTGAGGCGGGCGGATCACAAGGTTAGGAGTTCAAGACCAGCCTGGCCAACATGGTGAAACCCCGTCTCTACTAAAAATACAAAAATTAGCTGGGCATTACAGGTGGCACATGCCTGTAATCCCAGCTACTCATGAGGCTGAGGCAGGAGAGTTGCTTGAACTGGAACCCGGGAGGTGGAGGTTGCAGTGAGCCGAGATTGTGCCACTCGTACTCCAGCCTGGGCTGCAGAGTGAGACTCCGTCTCCAAAAACAAAAAACAAAAGATTATAACTTTCAGAGCCCCTCTTTCCTCCATGGGGGCCTGTGGGTGGGCTCCCTGAATTCTGTGGGAAGTAAATTAGTGGATGGCTTGTCTAGACTGAGCTGGGAACTGGGCCTGGACAGGGCTGGGGGAAGATGGGGCCTCTGGGGCGGGGCTCAGCCCTGATGAGTCCCGGGGGCTGTTTCAGGGCGAAGTTAGGCATGCCCCAGTTTCTGAGCACTGAAGCCCAGAGCCTCCTGCGGGCCCTATTCAAGCGGAATCCTGCCAACCGGCTCGGTAAGTAGCCCCAGCTTAGGGGAGGGGATGTGGCGGTGGGGAGCTGGGTACAGCTGCAGCCTAGGCCACGGGGCCACATCTGGGCTGAAAGGGGCCGTTGTCCTTTGTGTGGGCAGACAATGCCGCGGGCCACCCTGCCTTCTGGCTCCATGTGTGGTGTTGTGGAGCGGGGGGTTGACCTGTGTGTAGGGGGAAGGCAGGAACTGAGTCATCCCTACTCCCTCTGGGGACAAGGACAGAGGCCCCCACACAGCTTCTCCGCCAAGGCTGCTGGCACAAGAGGAAGAGCATGAGCTCAGGAATCAGAAGGCGCAGGTCCCAATCCCGCCTCTGTGTCAGGTCCCCACTGCCTGGCACGAAGCAGTCCCTCCGTAAATATTTGTTAAACAAATGAGGCCGTTTATGAACTAAGTGACCCCGGGCAGGTGACTTCACCTGTCTGCGCCCCAGGTTCCTCATCTCAGTGGGAGATGATGATCCCAAGCTTGCTTCAGGGCTCTGTTGATTACATGAGGTTGCGTGAGCACGCCTGGCGTGTAGTAGGTGTTCAGTATATGTTGGCTTCCCTGGCTCCTGGGTTCATCTGGTTCGTGACCAGCTATGTAAGGTCCAGTCCAGGCCCCTGGGGTCGAATGGAGTGATAGCCTGTCCCATGGTTGAAAAGGTCAATGGGATAAGACGAACAGAGATGGGGCCTGCATTGGAATGAGGTAGGGCTCTCTGTAGGTCTCAGAACAAGCTCAGCTTCTGTCCTGATGGTGTGGACTTGGAGAAGTTGCCTAAACTCTCTGGGCCTTCCTTCTCCCATTAATACACTGGAGCTTCTTCATTGGAAGCTCCAGAAAGTGGAAAATGCTGAGTGGGTGCCAGGCCTTAGGGTGACGGCTGGGCAGATTTTGGCAGGGTAAGCCCATTTTCCCCTCTGCTCCAGCAGCTGGTCCCAGAGCTCTGTGAGGCTCTCGGTAGGCAGGGTGGTATCTGGGAGTTGCACCATCCAGGGACAGACCCTTCATTTGGGCTCTTTCAGGCTCCGGCCCTGATGGGGCAGAGGAAATCAAGCGGCATGCCTTCTACTCTACCATTGACTGGAATGTGAGTGTGTCCACCCATGCCAAGGCTCTGGCCAGGCCTCCAGCCATCTTGGCCACAGGAAGGGTGGTGGGAGGGAAGCTTCTGCTAGCGAGGGTCCCAGACGCAGGAGCAGAGGGTAACAGCATCCCCTTGAAGACAAGGCTGGCCTCCTGAGGGCAAGTAATCATGCCCTTGTCTGCTGGGCAACATGGCCTGTGTTCCAGGCCCAGCACCTCCTCCTCCCTGGGACTCCCGGTGGGCTGTTGGGGATGCTATGGTGACCAGAGTGCCCACCCCACTGTGCAGAAGCTGTACCGTCGTGAGATCAAGCCACCTTTCAAGCCAGCAGTGGCTCAGCCTGATGACACCTTCTACTTTGACACTGAGTTCACGTCCCGCACACCCAAGGGTGCGTCCCTTATTTGTTTTGTCTGTCTTGAGCTGGTACAAGAGGGAAGCTGGGAGTCGGTGGCAGCTTGAGGGGCAGAGATAGTCAGGGACAGTGACAGGCCGAGGTGTGTGGGTGGGCAGGCGGGTGAGTTTCTGGCTCCGTGGGACTCTGACTTTGTCCTTGTCTCACTCTGACCCTCTCACTCTGGAGCTCTGTGGATCTCTTTGTGTCTGGTGAGAGAGTGGGAGTGGGGTGGGTGTGGGTGGTGAAGGCCACAGTAGAAAAGTCAGGACCTCTGCCCCGGGCACCTTCCAGCCCACGGGGAAGACCAAACACACAGGCTTACCATCACGTCAGGGATAAAGAATCTGACTCAGCCACACTGTGTGGTGGAAACAGTCTGGCTGAGCAGAGGTGACAGTGCCCATAGGTCAGGGACAGGCATGGGAATCAGCTTTGGCTGCTCCGACTGCTGGGCCTCAGTGTACTTATCTGGAACAAGGGCGCAGCCACAAACCCATGCATTCCCTGGGGTTGCTGCAAGATGCCAGTGAGGGAGCTTCTGGGAAGGAGCCTGGTAAATCGTAACTTTCTGGCCAGATATTGCCAGTGGGTGGTGGGTAGAGTGTTAGTTTTGGGAGGCCTCCTATCAGGGCATGTTTTAGGAGAGGGAGTGCTTTTCTCACCGCAGCTTGCACACCTCTGATGACAGGGAGCTCAGCACTTCTCCACATAGTCCACTGGGCAGCGTGACAGGTGCAGCTCCATGGGGGTCAGGGGCCGGAGGAGCATCAGCCAAGCCTTCTCAAAGGAGGAGCGTGTGAGCTGTCTTGAAGGATAGGCAAGGAGTGGATTAGTTAAAGGGAACAATGTGTGCAAGGGCTCAGAGACCCCTTTAAGGATCTGGGAAGTTCAACGTGGCTCACCTGTGGCATGGAGAGAGCGATGAGCATCACAAGGCTCTCAATTACCAGACTCAGGAGTGGGCTTACTCCCAAAAGCAGACAGGAACCTTTGAAAGGTGCAGGTAGGGGGGCAGATTTGTGCTTGGAACCTTCCCTCTGGCTGCTGTGCAGAGGTAGACCTGAAGGGGCTGACATAAGACAGGGAAGCTGGGGAGGAATATCCAGAAAGGGGTGAACTGTCGGCCGGTGGAGGTGGGAGTCTTTTATGTTCCTCATGGGTCAGGACTGGACTGGTCTAAACACATATGAGCAGTTAGGCTAATGCCTGGGACGGATGGGCCCCTTGCAGGCTCCCACCATGGCCAGCTGCCGAGGCAGGTCTGGAGGCCCTGTGCTCCACCTTTGCTGGGCTGGCTCAGGGGGGAGGGTACCTCCTCAGGCTCACATTCCCCTCCCGTCCCTACAGATTCCCCAGGCATCCCGCCTAGCGCTGGGGCCCATCAGCTGTTCCGGGGCTTCAGCTTCGTGGCCACTGGCTTGATGGAAGATGACGGCAAGCCTCGCGCCCCGCAGGCACCCCTGCACTCAGTGGTACAGGTGAGGGGGGTCGGGGCTGCTGAGCCGTTGTCCTTTTCTAGCTCCACAGCAGAAGGGCTGAGAATACAGGCTCTGAGTTAGACAGAACCAGGTTCATACCCTCATGCCACTGTGGGACCTGTAGGGCATCCAACATAAAACAGGGACAGTGAGGCCCACCTCACATGGTGGCCCTGATAATTGGATAATGATGTGGGTATACATTTCCCAGCACAAGGCCAGGGTCTGGGTATATGCCAGGGGGTTCCCAGGGTGGTGGTGCAGAGTGACTGTCATGTCTCTGGCAGGAGGGGAGCGAAGGACTTTTCTCTTCACACTTGTTCCCCATTTGTACACTGTCACTGCTTCATGAAAGTTTCGGGTTGAGAGGCAAGGATATAGATTCCAGAGCTCATTGCATGGGATCTAGATTCACAAGATAATGAACTTTGGTTTTTTGTTTGTTTGGTTTTTTTAAGAGACATAGTCTTGCTCTGTTGCCCAGGCTGGAGTGCAGTGGCACAAATTCAGCTCACTGCAACCTCCACCTCAGCTTCAAGGGATTCTCCTGCCTCAGCCTCCTGAGTAGCTGGGACTACAGATGCATGCCGCCACACCCAGCTAATTTTGTTTTTTGGTATTTTTAGTACAGACACGGTTTCACCATGTTGGCTAGGCTGGTGTCAAACTCTTGACCTCAAGTGATCCGCCCACCTCAGCCTTTCAAAGTGCTGAAATTACAGACATGAGCACCTGGCCAGATAATGGATTTTGGAGGAGACACTTCTCTTCCTGGTGCCTCAGTTTCCTCATCTGTAAATGGGGGCTGGGCATGGTGGCTCATGCCTGTAATCCCAGAACTTTGGGATGCCAAGGTGGGTGGATTGCTTGAAAACAGGAGTTTAAACAAACCAGTCTGGTCAACATGGTGAAACCCATCTCTACTAAAAATACAAAAATCAGCTGGGCATGTTGGCGCATGCTTATAGTCTCATCTACTTGGGAGGCTGGGACACAAGAATCACTTGAACACAAGAGACAGAGGTTGCAGTGAGCCAAGAATGCACCATGGCACTCCACCCCGGGTGACGGAGCAAGACTCTGTCTCAAAAAAAATAAATAAATAAAATTTAAAAATAAAGTTAAAGTGACTATGTCATTTATTTTCCAAACTGGGACATCTTTCTTTATCCAGGACAAATACTAAATCAGACTGGATGCAAGGACCGCAGGCCCAAACCAGGGCTGTCCACGGGGCGTGGAGTCACCTGATGAAAGTGCTTAGAATAGTGCCGGGCACACAGCACACACTAAGCACCATTGAGCATTGCTGTGGCTAATGTCCCAGAACCTTGAGATGAGCTGTGATGCCCAGAAAGGGGAGGCAACTTACTCAAAGCCATAGTTAGTGGCAGAGCTGGAACTCAGCTCAGGGCCCCTGCATCCCTCCCACGCCTGCTCAGGCTTTTCAGAACTAAAGACCTCTCCATGTGTATTGTGACCCTCTTGCCCACTCCCTGCACTGCCCTCTGACCACAGGCTGCAGTCCAAGCAGGCTGGGAGCCAGTGAGTATGCCCATCATATAGAATAGAAAACTGGCTGGGCGTGGTGGCTTCCACCTGTAATCCCAGCACCTTGGGAGGCAGAGGTCAGGAGAGGGCGGATCATGAGGTCAGGAGATCAAGACCATCCTGGCCATGGTGAAACCCCATCTCTACTAAAATAAAAAAATCAGCCAAGCGTGGTGGCACGTGCCTTTAGTCCCAGCTACTCAGGAGGCTGAGGCAGGGGAATCGCCTGAATCCGGGAGCCAGAGGTTGCAGTGAGCCAAGATTGCAGCACTGCACTCCAGCCTGGTGAAAGAACAAGACTCCATCTCAAAAAAATAAAAGAAAACTGAGGCCCAGAGAGGGGTAGGCAGGCTCTCACCTGCAGTCACATGGCCAGCACTCCACCCCAAGCCTCCTGGCTCTTTCCTGGTGCCATCTCTACTGAGCCAAGACCTTGGGTGCTGGGAGATGACCCCTAGCACTCTGGAGCCAGGGGTCAGCCACAATTTTTGGTCTCCTACAGCAACTCCATGGGAAGAACGTGGTTTTTAGTGATGGCTACGTGGTAAAGGAGACGATCGGTGTGGGCTCCTACTCCGTGTGCAAGCGCTGTGTCCACAAGGCCACCAACATGGAGTATGCCGTCAAGGTGGGCCTCCTGAACGTATCTCAGCCAAGGCTGCCGGGCTGGGGGCAGGTTTCCATCTGGCAGGGAGGGGTGGTGCCTGAGCTCTGCAGATGGATGAAAGGGGTGTGGCTGAGACCTCCAGGCCTGCTCCGTAGCAGGGGAGGACCCTGGAGCCTGTCACCCTGACACTGCCATGTGCATGCCCCTTTCTTCAGGTCATTGACAAGAGTAAGCGGGATCCTTCAGAAGAGATTGAGATTCTTCTGCGGTACGGCCAGCACCCCAACATCATCACTCTGAAAGATGTGAGTGCGTTCCTTGAGACTGGGGTGGGACCAGGAACTCAACTCTCCAGGATTTGTCTCAGGTTTTCCATTCCTTTGACTTCTCATCCTCCTTCCAGGGCTCATGTGAAGGTGAATGAGGACCCTTGGTCTCTGCAGTCTGGCCATACCCCAAGGGCCCTCCTTCAGACTCAAGCATTTTCTGAAGACCTTCTTGCCTATCAGGGGACCAGTGTCAGCATCCTCTTTTCGGGGAGGGCAGGGCCACTGAAGTGCACAGCCGAACACATGCCTAAGGCTCATGTCATTCTTCCCCGCTCTGGAATGCTGCTGACTAGGGCGTCCAGGCCTGACACTGGGGAGAAGAGCCTGATGGTGAGGTCTTTGGCAGGTGTACGATGATGGCAAACACGTGTACCTGGTGACAGAGCTGATGCGGGGCGGGGAGCTGCTGGACAAGATCCTGCGGCAGAAGTTCTTCTCGGAGCGGGAGGCCAGCTTTGTCCTGCACACCATCGGCAAAACTGTGGAGTATCTGCACTCACAGGGGGTGAGTCTGGATTCGGGGAGGTGGTAGGGGAATGCCAAGGGTTATACCATCAGCAGACCACATGAACCACATGCTGGCCCAGGAATGGCAGCCTCCAGCCAGCTAAACTGAGGGGAGACTAGGGCTGTGTGGGTGGATGCGTGCAAAGGAGGGAGGGAGAGATGTGGCCAAATTGTGAAAGGGAAGGTATGGAAAGTTATTCAGTATCTACTGTGTGCCAGGCACCATGGAAAGGTTTAGCGTAACATGAAGTTTCCAGGCCAGGCACAGTGGCTGACACCTGTGATCCCAGCCCCTTGGGAGGCTGAGGCAGGCGGGTCACTTGAGGTCAGGAGTTCGAGACCAGGCTGGCCAACATGGTAAAAGCTCGTCTCTACTAAAATACAAAAAAATTAGCTGGGCGTGGTGGCAGGTGCCTGGAATCCCAGCTACTTGGAAGGCTGAGGCAGGAGAATGGCTTGAACCTGGGAGGTGGAGGTTGCAGTGCGCCGAGATCATGCCATTGCACTCCAGTGTGGGCAACAGAGTGAAACTCCATCTAAAAGATAAATAAATAAATAAGATAAAGTTTCCTTACATTATCTCAATTGATTTTCACAACAGCTCTGAGACAGATGCTGTTATTGGTCCCACTTCATAGGTAAGAAGACTGGAGCTCAGAGATGAAAGGTCATTTGCTCTAGGTCACATAGCCAGGGAAGAATGGAAGGATTTCAAACTGAAGAATTTAGGTGGGGAGTGGCTTTGGAGTTAGGAAGCGTCAGGTTCACTGTGGGAGAGCTGCAAGGCTTCAGGGAGGTGAATTTGACTATGGGTTCAGTTGCTAAGGCAGAGGAAATGGATGCCGAAGGGAATTCTGCTGGAAATGTAGCAGGGACTGCAGAAGAAGTGGAGGTCCAAATGGCAGAGTTGAGCCTTCATCACTGCACAAGGCAGGTGAGCACTAGATGACAGTGAGGTAGGAAAGTTCATTACAGTGTATTCAAGCCCAAAACAGTAGCATTAGCTTCTCTCTGGATGAGGTGTTTTAGGGTGCTCTTGATCAGACAGCGTGGGGGTTAAGAATGCAGGCTGCAGAGCCCACTTGGCTGAGTCCAGGTCTTGGTGTATGAGGTTGTTACGTGTTTTTACATAGTACCCAGTCCATAGACACAGTTCCCCTACTGTCTTTTTTTTTTTTTTTCCGACGGAGTTTTGCTCTTGTTGCCCAGGCCGGAGTGCAATTAATTGTACGATCTCGGCTCACTGAAACCTCCACCTCATGGGTTCAAGCGATTCTCCTGCCACAGCCTCCCAAGTAGCTGGGATTACAGGCATGTGCCACCTCGCCTGGCTAATTTTGTATTTTTAGTAAAGACAGGGTTTTTCCATGTTGGTCAGGCTGGTCTCAAACTCCCGACCTCAGGTGATCCACCTGCCTCAGCTTCCCAAAGTGCTGGGATTACAAGTGTGAGCCACTGTGCCCAGCCTTTTTTTTTTTTTTTTTTTTTAATATTTAATGCCAGGCAGAGAATGATTTTTTTCTTTCCTTTTTGAGATGGAGTCTCGCTCTTGTTGCGCAAGCTGGAGTTCAGTGACATAATCTCTGTTCACTGCAACCTCTGCCTCCTGGATTCAGGTGATTTTCCTGCCTCAGCCTCCTGAATAGCTGGATTACAGGCACCCACCACCATACCTGGCAAATTTTTTTGTATTTTTAGTAGAGACAGGGTTTTTACCATGTTGGCCAGGCTGGTCTCAAACTCCTGACCTCAGGTGATCTGCCCACCTCGGCCTCCCAAAGTGCTGGGATTACAGGCGTGAGCCACCGCATCCACCCGCTGTTGTGCTGTCAAAAATGTCTTTTTTGACTGGCTTATTGAAATTACCATATCTGCAAGGTCCACACATTTCATTCAGTGGATAAATCTCTCTCTTTTTTTTTTGAGACAGGGTCTCCCTCTGTTGCCCAGGCTGGAGTGCAATGACACAATCGTGGTTCACTGCAGCCTCGACCTTGGGCTCAAGTGATCCTCCCACTTCAGCCTCCCAAATGGTGGGACCACAAGCGTGCATTACCACACAAAATACGAAAAAGAAATACAAAAAATTTCGTATTTTTTGTAGAGATGGAGTTTTGCCATGTTGCTCAGGCTTGTCTTGAACTCCTGAGCTCAAGTGATTGCCCACCTTGGCCTCCCACAGTGCTAGGATTACAGGTGTAAGCCATTTTACCGAGCCTCTTTAAAAAAAAAAAAAAAAAAAAAAAAAAAGGCCGGGCGCAATGGCTCACGCCTGTAATCCCAGCACTTTGGGAGGCCGAGGTGGGAGGATCACGAGGTCAAGAGATGGAGACCATCCTGGCCAACATGGCGAAACCCCGTCTCTACTAAAAAATACAAAAATTAGCCCGGTGTGGTGGCACGTGCCTGTAGCCCCAGCTACTCAGGAGGCTGAGGCAGGAGAATTGCCTGAACCCAGGAGGAGGAGGTTGCAGTGAGCTGAGATTGTGCCACTGCACTCCAGCCTGGCACCTGGCGACAGAGCGAGACTCTGTCTCAAAAAAAAAAAAAAAAACACCTGGAGGAAAATTCGCATACAGTAGATTTCAAGGGTCCATTTTGATGAGTTTTGTTAAATGTGTACACCCATGTCACCTTCAGAGCTAGACCTCCCTTTTTTCTGCCACCGACTTATTGAATATCAGTTCTGTGCAATGTCTCACATTCTGAATTTGTCTGTTGGCTGCCTCTTGGCATCATTTACATTATTTCTCCATTGCCTGTATCTCCTATAAACTGCAAGTTGCTCTAACATCATTATTGGCTTTAACTTTTTGAGGGGGATGGGAATAAGGTTCAGATGGCTAAGTTTGGGCCAAGCGTGGCGGCTTATGCCTGTAATCCCGGTACTTTGGGAAGCCAAGGTGGGCAGATTACTTGAGGCCAAGAGTTCAAGACCAGTCTGGCCAATATGGTGAAACCCTATCTCTACCAAAAATACAAAAATTAACAGGGCATGGTGGCATGTGCCTGTAATCCCAGCTACTCTGATGGCTGAAGCACAAGAATCACTTGAATCTGGGAGGCAGAGGTTGCAGTGACCTGAAATCACACCAATGCACTCAAGCCTAGATGACAGAGCAAAATCCTGTCTCAAATAAAAAATAAAAATAAAAAAGAAGGCCGAGATCATCCCCTCTCTGGAGGTACACTGACTTCACAGTGCATCACATCCACAAGCCCACAGTATCACGCTGCCTCCCTTTAGTCATGGCAGGTGGTAACCATCCGATCTCCTTATCTAGGCCAGGTGTGGTGGCTCACACCTGTGATCCCAGTACTTTGGGAGGCTGAGGCAGGCAGATCACGAGGTCAGGAGTTCAAGACAAGCCTGGCCAAGACAGTGAAACCCTGTCTCTACTAAAAATGCAAAAATTATCTGGGCGTGGTGGTGCATGCTGTAATCCCAGCTACTCAGAAGGCTGAGGCCAGAGAATCACTTGAACCCCGGAGATGGAGGTTGTAGTGAGCCAAGACCATGCCATTACACTCCAGCCTGGGCAACAGAGCGAGACTCCATCTCAAAAAAAAAAAAAAGATCCTCATCTGATGGTTTCATCCTTTCAGAATTTTGACTGAGTTGAGTATTTCATTAGGATTGTGAAAGTGGCAATGCCTGATTATGTCTAATTTTTTAGGAGAAATTCTGTTAAAAAGAACTTTACCTCTTAACCAAAGCTCCAGTTTGGTTACCCCCTGTGCATCATGTTTGAAGTGGCTTTGGTTTTTGAAATCCCAGTGCAATAGACTAATATTTAACATGTCAGGTCAGAGAGTAAATCTGTTTCCTTTTTCTGTTTTGTTCTTAAGTGAGTACTCATTAAACTTAAGAAGGTTTAGAAAACAGGCAAGCCAGTGTACCTGTGGGTCACCTGAAGCTCAGAGCAAGGAGGAACTTGGTGAAGAGGCACTCTCCAGAGGCAGTGAGCCCTTTCCACTAGGGATGTTCAAAGCTCCAAGTATAGATAACCACTTGGTGAGGATGTTGTTGGAGGAAGTTGTCTCCTTCCCAAAGCTAGGAACGTATGTATCTTCAGAGTTTCTGGCTCTTTGCTAATACCGGAGCAGATGATGAGGAATGGGAAGCTCTTGTTGAGATGTTTGGAGGGGTTACTCCGGGTTGGTTTGTCAGCAGCAGTAGCTGTGGTCAATAAACTGGGAATCCCACAGGAGCTGAGGGATGGGAAGCGGATGACCAGGAAGCATGGTCCATTCGGACCCCTGTTTGTTTTAATATTGTCTTTGTATTGAAGCATTGCATAAACACCGAGAAGTACACAAATCATAATGGACAAGTCAACGAATTTTCAAAAAGTGAATATACCTGTGTAACCAGTACCCAGATCAATAAACAAAGCACTTCCAGTTCTCCTAGAGCCCACCCACCCAAGGATAACAAGCCTAAGCTAAATTCTAATAGGTTCATTTTGCCCGTTTTTTTATTTCTTTTTTCTTTTCTTTTTTTTTTTTTTTTTTTTTTTTTGAGATGGGGTTTTGTTCTTCTTGCCCAGGCTGGAGTGCAGTGGCTCTGGTCTCACCTCACTGTAACCTCTGCCTCCCAGGTTCAAACAATTCTCCTATCTCAGCCTCCCAAGTATTATAGGCACCCGCCACCACATCCAGCTAATTTTTTGCATTTTTAGTAGAGACAAGATTTCACTATGTTGGCCAGGCTGGTCTCGAACTCCTGACCTCAAGCGATCCACCCACCTCAGCCTCCCAAAGTGCTGGGATTATAGGCATGAGCCACCGTGCCCGGCCCCATTTTTGAATTTCATAAAAACGTTCTCTTTTGTATCTGGCTTCTGCCATTCAGTGTTGTCTTTGACATCTATCTACGTTGTTGTGGCTGCTATTCATTCATTTTCATTGCTGTGTAAAACTCTACAGACCACGATTAATTATCCATTCTGTTAATAGACACCGGATGGTTACCAGATTTTTGACCATCACAAATAA